GGCCTCGCGCTCTTGGATCTTATTTCGCCCCAAGAGCCGGGCGCGGGGCGGGGCTGCGCAGGGGTGGGCGGGGCTTAGCGGGGCGGGGCGGGGCTCACGTGCCTCGTAAAGATCCCAGGCGCGGGCGAGCCTTAAACGTGCGTGCTCTTCACTGTCAGTAGCTGGTTCTGTGAGCTCGTAGGGTTACGTAGAAGTTGTATTCTGAAGATAATTTGGGGCGTTTCCAATAACTAACGGTTGTACTGAGTACACCAAATAAGTGCATTCTCTCTACCTGACGTTCACTCTTCTGTGCGTGTCCTTTCCAAAGGATCGGGGTGTCGCGTATTTGGAAGCGTTCTGCAGGAGAGTCCTTATAAAGTCGCAAGTAAAACCATGGATTGTGTCCATCATGCACATACCCTAAACTCATGACCAGGGCAGCGGAGCAGACGACGGTTCGTGGCCACCCCATGTGACCGAACTGCTCCTTAGGGGTTTCTCGGCTGCAAACGCCAAAGGTAGTTCTACCTTGTCCTCTAGGGTCCCTATGAGTGAACATTGATTCCAAGGCAGTGAGTTTGTCGTGTGTGTGTGTGTGTGTGTGTGTGTGCAAATAGTGACTTCTCTCAGTGGTTGATTGCTAGCTTATTGGTTCCAGTCCACCCACAGGTACAGGAGAGGAAAGGTCTGGCGATCTAATTCCAAAATATCAGCCATCAAAAAGCATAAGGAGCCCAGTTCTACTCTGGCACGAGTCAGCCAACACGATGGCAGCTGGTACCGTGAGAGTGAGAACGAGCCGACCGAGGTGCTGAGTCTGCGCAGAAGGAGCCCTGATGATGTCATGGTTGAGTCCTTGGCTGCCTACGGAAAAGTTGATTCAAACGCATCCCTCAGCTCCACGGGAGGAAGACCTGGCAATCCATTTCTAGTTAGTATAGCTGAAAAATCCATGGATAGGCTGGAGGTTTCAGACTGCTGGCTTTGCAGTTAGCCCAATTCATTACCGCCCACCCCCCCAGGGGTGGGGTGGGGGGCTCCTGTGTGTTATCAGGTCAGCAGAAAAGAGGAACTCTCTGGAGATGGACTGACCCAGAGGCTGCAACAACGGGCTCAACCTAACCACAGTTGGGAGGCTGGCGCAGCACGCGTCCACATTTCCTTGTGTTCTACTCAGTGTCGCTGTGAGTCGGAACTGACTTAATAGCACCTCACAACAACAATACTTAATGCTCAGTGGGCAGGTGGAACCACAAGTAGTGCCAACCCATCAGCAGCCCCTTGGGAAGGAGACCTGGGGGTGGGCTTCTGTCGTCCTCTCCAGACCTGGTTGGCCACCTGCACCACTTCCCTTGGAAGAATCTGAGAGTCAGTGGCCCAACCTCAGGAGGAAAGTATCACCCAGGTATAGCATCTCATTCAGCCAACTACTTATTTAAAAGAGAAAGTAAGTTCTAAAGGAGAAGCGGGTCAGAGTCCGAGGAGTGGTACAGGCAGAGAGATTTAGTCTACTTTTACAAATGTACGATAATTAAGGGGGCAGACTCTTCAGATTGCTCGAGCAGAAATAGGGGGAACTTTGGAGAAGTTTGAGGTCCCATCCCTCACTTTCCCTTATCTGGTCAGGTGGGCAGTGTCACGTAATCTCCCAGGAGTTGGTAACCTATCACGGGGCTAGTGAGTGTGATTTTCATTTTGATGGTGATCAAGGTTTTGATTCACCACCATGCATGTTCAAGGTAGGAGTGCATTCGCTAATCCCAGGGTCATTGAATGAGTACATTTTACTTCAGTTTATCTGCTGAAGGAGCCCTCCCTGGTGGTGTAGTGAGTAGGCATTGGGCTGCTAACTGCAAGGTCAGCAGTTCACAACCCCCAGCTGCTCAGGATTGGGGAAACAAGGGTTTCTGAGTTACCATCTCAGAAACTCAGAGAAGTTGGCTTCTGCGCCAAAGCTGAGTCGGAATCAACCCGATTGCAGTGTGAGGTTTTGTTTTGTTTTTAATAGTTTTATTCAGCACATCATCCACATGTCATGAAATTCAATTCAATCATATCAAGAAGAGTTGTACAATTATCACCCCAGTCAATTCTAGAACATTTTCTTCTTCCTTGTACTGATTATTATTCATGTAATTATTTTTTCTCATTGTGGCAAAAGTATACGCAACAAAACACCCTCCAATTCCACAATTTCTGTATGTGTAATTCAGTACCACTCATTATACTCTTTGTGTTGTACAACCATTATTGATATCCTTTTCCAAATTATTCCACCATCATTAACATAAACTCAGTTCAGGCTGTAAATCGTTATGGAAGCAGACAGCCTCATCTTTCTCCTGAGGAGTGGCTGGTGGGTTTGAACCCCCCAACTTACAGTTAGCAGTCCAATAGCGTCAGCAGGGTTCACAAACCAACAAAATGTCATAAAATCAACCTCTTAAATTCTGAAACATACCACAATCCACTTGCTCTCTGATAGTAAAAATCAATTTAAAAAATTTAAAAAAACCCATCAATTCAAGAAAGAAATAAAATGGCATGGCAATAATCATTTCCCACGGAGCCCTGGTGGCATAATGGGTTACTCACTGAGCTGCTAGCCATAAGACCAGCAGTTCGAACCCTGCCCCACAAAAACAAACTGGCTGCCACTGATTCCAGTTCCAAAGTGACCCTATAGGACAGAGTAGAACTGTCCAGCAGTGAGAGTTGTAATCAGCTGGACTCTTCTTGAACACTCCCTTATTCTTGGGGTGTTTTTTTTTCCCGGCATTATTTTCTAGCTTCCCTGTTCCTTCCCTCACACTTCCATAAAGATAAACCTGCTGCCACAAATCACTAATGGAGACGCTCACTGCAGGACAGGGTGTAACTGCCCCACATTCTCCAGGGGCGGCATCATTACAGAAACAGGCTGCCTCAGCTTTCTCCAGGAGGCGTGGCCGGCTTTGTACCAGTGCTCTTTCAGTTAGCCCTAAACGCTTTAACCACTGCTCCGCCAGGCTCCTTCCTAGACAGATTACAGCCTAGGAGACCTTACTGGACAGTTCTGCTTTGTCACATGCAGGGTTAGCGTTGACAGCACCTAACCACAGAGATGCCTTTCCTTACAATCCGGAGTCATGCTCATTTTTTGATGTTGTCATTAGAACCCCGGCGGGCTGCGGGAGCCCAGGAGGGACAGTGCAGCCCACAAGGGGAGGGCCAACACTTTTAGGGCGGGGAAGAGGAGGGCCAGTGGAGCAAAGGCCGGAGCACGCCCCCACGTGACCACCGGCCATCTTTACGCCTGGCGGCGTCTTCTGGCAGCAGGTTCGCTCTGTCTTACTGCGCAGGCGCGGGCGTGCTAAGCGCACCGGGGCGCAGGCGCAGGAGGACGCGTTGTGCCGGGGTTGGACGCTTTCTTCTCAGGTTAGCGGTCTTCACGGAGTTGGAAATATGGGGGTCGCGAGGCGGCGGCGGGGTTTCTCTCGGAGCAATCTGCCAGGCCAAGGCTGCAGGAGAGCGTGATCGGCCACTCCGGACGCCCCCGAGCCTCAGTTTCCCTTCCTGGGCCCGCCCCCCGCTTCCCGGCAGCGACCGGGTGAGCAGAAGCGGGGGTGGGGAGTTGTGGCCGGAGGGGCGGGGGGAAGGTGGTTGGGCCGATGGCCCAGGGTCCGAGCTGGAAGCTGGCGCCTCTGTGGCCCCCACGTGGAACCGAAGCCGCTGCCATTGGGGGCCTGACCACCCGCAGTGGTCGTAGAGTACCCTGTAGCTCAGCAAAGGTCATCAGACTCGCCACTCGGCTTTGGGCAGCTAGTTAAGAAGGACTAACAGTGGAGGCTACTCAGTTGAATTGACTGCAGACTCAGAATCCGAACCTGCGTCTTACCTGTAAAGACGCGCCAGCTCTGCCCACACGGTGCCTTCTCATGACCCGGAAAGCGGCCAGGGGTCATGGAGAAGCAGGGTGGGCTGCCCTTGCCAGGGGCCCAGCTCAAACTGGAGCAACTGGGTGCCCAGAAGTAGGGATGTCACATGGACACGTGTTTTGTTCAGCTTCAAAACTGCCCCTGCCCCCTGGGGAAACTTGTTTTCAGTTGCTGACCTTTCTCAGCAGGACAAGGGCAACAACCCTTAACACCAGAGAAGACCTGTGTGATTAAGTTTACCACAGCCAAACATGTCTTTCCTAAACCTACTGTCTTACATTCCTTTGGGCATTTTGTCAGAAGAAGGACGTCGTGCTTAGCACAGTAGAGGGGCAGCAGTAAAAAAGGAAGGCACAGGAGCAAGGGTGAGGGTGGCACACGACCGGGCAGTGTGTCTTGCTGTTGTGCATAGGGTTGTTATGAGTCGGAACCCAACTACAGTCAATGGCAGGTCCAGTGTTGGCTGCTAATAGTACCAAGCCACCCACCCTCCTCCAGGTGGGAGCCAAAGGAAGAAGTCAGAAATTTACAGTCTCGGGCGCCTTAGGAAGCAGTGCTCTGCCCTGTAGAGTTGCTATGAGTTGGAAGCTGCTCAAAAATGGGGTGGTAGTGTGTATATGCACACCTGCCCTTCTGCAAAGGGGATCCAGAAAACCAAACCCACAGCCATTGAGTGCCTTCTGACTCATTGTAACCCTATGTTGAGTTTCCAAGGCCATGGCAGCCTTAACAGGGCAGCTGGAAGATTTGAACCTGGTGGTTAGCAGTCCAACACTTAACCACACAGCTCCAGCAGGGCTCCTTCAGCGTCTCCTGAATTCCATTAAAAAAAAAACCACCTTATTAATTGGGAGGTATTACATGAAGAAAATGATATTATTATTCCATAGTTCAATCACATGGAGCAGTAGTGTACAGTTGCTACCTGTACACTACAATCAGTTTCTCCTGAATTCTTCATTTTTTTTAAAAATTGTGACTTGGGTGAAGGTTTACAGAGCAGATGGGCCATCTTGACAGTTCATGCACATTTTGTTCCGCCTCATCTGTTGGCAGTCCCCTTAGTGTCGAATCACTGTCCCACTTGCTCCCTGTAATTTCATGTGTCCATGCTGCCTACCTCCCTCACCCTCTGAACCGCATCCTTGGGCCAAGGCCACTCGTTTGACCTCAGAAGGTTGATGATTCTAAGGTGTGTGTATGCACTAGTGTTACTGTTCCCTTACAAACCTGTCTGTTGTTTGACAGGCATTGAGCTGAGGGAGGGTAAGTTCCATTCCAGACCTGAAGGCTGATGAAAGGCCAGTGTCTCTGGGGTCCCATCAGTCTCTGGTCTCTTTTAGGATTTTGATTTGTGGCCCACATATGTGCCCCTCTAATGTGATCCCCAGCAGAGCATTTGCGGGGATGGTTGCCGGGCACCATCTAATCCTTCTGATCTCAGGGCAATAGATACTGTGGTTTGCATGGCCCATCAGTCTACTGGACTAATGGCTTCGCGTCTCTTTGGTTTTCTTCACGGGTTAATTCATTTTCTTTTGAGGAAATGGGATGCTGCAGCTAAAGGGGAGAGCTTGGACCCAGACTCACTCTCCTCTTCCTAAGCCACTGCTATAAGGAGTAGGTGGTGGTAGAGACACTTCTAACCCCCCCTTTCCTCCCCACAGCATGGCGGCCCACTTGATACGGACAGTGGCGGTTTCTCTCGTGCAACCCTTCCTCCACCTGAGCCGCTGCACAGTGAGATCCCAAGGACTCTCCACATTCCTGCAAGGATCCTTCTTCCGGACGGCCCTCCCCGTGGGCTGCAGCCCCCTGCAGGCCAGCCCAGGGCTCCAGTCCCTTCCTTCCGGCAGTCTGACGCCCTGTCTGCAGCCTGCTCTGGGCTTCAAAACCAAAGGCGTCATCAAAAAGCGCTGCAAGGACTGCTACCGGGTGAAGAGGCGGGGCCGCTGGTTCATCTACTGCAAGACCCACCCCCGCCACAAGCAGAGGCAGATGTAGCGCTTCCCACCCCCACTGGAGGCGGCCTGGGTCCCTGTGCAGAAGTGCTCTCATTGCCCCAGGGATTCAAAATGAAAGGCTTTCTCAGGAAACTGAGTTTTCCTTGTTTAAAGGGAAATAAAATGGAAGCATTCTGTAGTCTTGGGTTTGTGTCCGCTCCCTGATGGATGTTTCACATCCCTAGATGGGCCTGAGCCCCTGTTGGGATACAGCTTGCTTCTCTCGCTCCTGTGCCAGCTGTGTTTGGGCCTGGGTTGCAGAACAGAGCATACATGAGGGGTTTTCAAAAAGCTGGTGCTGCAAATGGCGATGGAGGTGACAGAGCTGACCACTTCTGGCTGGCCCATCACCACGAGGCAGGGTCAGGAAAACCTCCATGCGTCATCCTACGTGACCTATTCTGACACCACCGTTCCTCCTTAGCACATGACTTCTATGCTGAGTGTGATGGTTCACGGCAACAGCCACCCACACCTCACAGACGGTTTACTAGGCAGGTCAAGGAGCCCTAGTGGTTCTGCCTTGGGCTGCTTTATGCAAGGCCAGCAGTTCTAAACCACCGGTTGCTCTGTGGGGGAAAGATGAGGCTTTCTACTCCCGTGATGAGTTACAGCAGCGGTTCTCAACCTGTGGATTGCGTGTGACCCCTTTGGGGATCAAATCACCCTTTCCCAGGGGTCGTCTGATTCATAACAGCAAAATTAAAATTATGAAGTAGCAACGAAAGTAATTTTATGGTTGGGAGGGTCACCACCACATGAGGAATTATTGAAGGGTCCCAGCATTCGGAAGGTTGAGAACCACTGAATTCCAGTCTCAAACCCACAGGGGCAGTTCTCCCTTACCCTACAGGGTCGCCATGCATCAGAATCAACTTTACAGAAGTGAATTTGGTTTTACCGGAGAAGCCAGTGGATTAGCACAAGTTCAGCAGACAGCAAGGATACAGTCCTCAGCCAGCAGTCTAGGGTCTCCGTACTCGGCCTCCCTTGGCCTGGACCTCGATGGGCCAGGGAGCCAGTCAGTCTCAGAACCCCGCACTCAGGCCAGGTGAGAAGAAGGCACCCCATCGTTTTGGCATCTCAGGGTTTCTCTCCAGTCTGTGATGCATCTAAGCACAGCGACCCTGCTACTTAAGACAGAAATCTTGAATGAGCTCTTGCAAGGCTGCCTGGTTTCTCCCTCTGCTCATGCATGTGGACACATGAGTAAGAGGCAAAAGAGCGGACGCATTTGAAGGATGGCCCTGGTGAAGAATATTGGCAGTGCCATGGGCTGTCAGAACAAACCTCTGAGGAAGTTCAGCAAGAATGCGCCTTGGAAGCAAAGGTGGCAAGTGTTTGTCTCCTGTCCTTGGATATGTGAACAGGAAGGACCGGTCCCTGGAGAAGGGTCGTTATGCTTGTGGACGTAGAGGATGAGTCAGACGAGGAAGACCCTGGGTGAGATAGATGGACACTGGCTGAAACCGTGGGCTCAAGCACAGCAACTGTGAGCATAGTGCAGGATCAGGCAGTGTTTGTTCCCTTGTACATCAGGCCACTGTGAGTCAAAGCTGACTCCGCATCAACCCAATGGCCGTGGCTTTGATGTTTTCATTGCTCCAGTAGAAGTAGACTGTGGAAACCCACCCCCAGCCAGCAGTAGCCCCACTAGGCAGCGACTTTCTGTTGAGCCCTACATGTACCCAGTGTCAAAACTCATGAGACAGGAAAGACAACCTTTGCCCTTTCAAAGGAATCTCCTAAGACTTGCTTATTAGGAGTTGCCTGTGTTAAAATTCCAATAGTGATCTTTGATTTGATACTCTGGCCCTTTTTACTGGAAGGCTGGCCTATGTTATTTTTAGCTGTTAACATTTTCAGAATTGGAATTGGATACTCAGGCTTTCAGTCTTCTGAAACGTCTTCTCCGCTGTTCGATATTTGCTGTAGCTATAGACTGAGAAGAATCTGCAGCTAAACTAGACGGAACACCATCTCAGCCTGGTGTTGGTGACGAATAGTGAATCCACAGGGCCTGTCAAAAGAAGGCACACGTCCATCTTGGCGAAAATCCAGGATGTCCCTCGGCAGCAAGGAGCCAAGTCTTCGGCTCGTGTCATCAGGAGGGGCCCTGCCTGAAGAAGGACCCCCACACTTGGTTAAGTAGAGGGTCAATGAAAAAGGAAGAGATCCTGGCCCAGCCACGTGGACACACAGCCTTGGCGATCAGGCATGTAGACTGCCACCCTGCGCCGTGCTTCTGTATCCACTGCACAACTGCTAAGATACAGTGACATCGCTCCCCTTGTCGCAGGGCTGCTGCTGTGTGCGTCCCAGTTGCAAATGTCACCACATCCACTTCTCACACCCCTGCTTCCAGGCCCTCTTCTGAGCCCTTGGAGGGTGGGACACTCGGTTGGGAGGACTCTACACCAATCCCATGTAATTCCACAGTGCACTGCATACCGGCCTGCTGTCCCCTCGGCTCATTGCCAACTAGAGTCCTTGGCCACAACCTTCCTCCTTCCAACCCTCCTTGCCTGTACTGCTCAACCCCCTGCATTCCTCAAAGGCTGAAGGAAGATCCTCCTGCCCACCCCCAATCACCGGCCTCCCCAGCATCCAAGGCATGTCACCCGAGGCTCCGCCCTGGGATTCCCTGCATCTCCAGTTGCTTTTCATTTGTGGCTGGCATCCAGCCACGTCTGCACAATCGGACTGCATCCTTCCAGAGAAGAGCCTGTCTTTGCATTTGCCTCAGCGGCTCATTCACCAGTAGGCACCTCAGGGCTTTCCTTCCACAGAGTTTACTTGTGGTCTGGAGAGAGAGAGGTAAGGCTCAGATTTTCAATCTGGGCTGTCAGCGCAAGAGTTCGCTGGATGTTGGTCCACTACCCTTCACAGGCGACTGGTGAGCTGCAGCACGGGGCAGAGGTCGAAAGGGACAAAGGAGAGAAAAGAGGCACTGGGATAGGGAGCAGAAGGTCCCTTTCCCTTGGGGCCGGGAGGAGACTTGGGTTCGTCCTCGCTCCACCTCATAATGATAGTGACCCTGGCCAAGCCTGATGGGTCATGATGGCACCTCTCCCTGCTCCCCAGGAGCACGTGAAACAGGAGGTGAGATGGATTTGCTCTGTGTGTTGGCTGACACCCAACGCTTTACAAGGCAGTGGCCACTACATCCCAAGCCAACCTCAGAGCATTTAAGCCAGTGGTTCTCAACCTTCCTAATGCGTACGACCCTTTAATACAGTTCCTCATGTTGTGGTGACCTCCCCCCAACCTTGCTATTTCATAACTGTAATTTTGCTACTGTTATGAATCAGGCCACCCCATTTAATACCCAGAAGGGTCGCCACCTACAGGTTGAGAACCGCTGATCTAAGCGCTTCCCCAGAACTGATGGACCCCACCTGTGGGTGAGAGGCCTAGGTCAGGATACTCAGGAGTCAGATAGAAAGAAGGTCACTTCTTTAGAGAGAATTATGCTTGGGTCTTGCCAACCCCTCCTCAGACCATGGGGCATCCATAGAGTGATATCAAGAAGCTTATGTATGACGGGGGTGGGGGCCACGGGGAGGGGATGCACAGCATGAGAGGAAAGCACAAGAGTCCTAATTTCACAGGAATGGTTCGGAGCATCACAGAAGAGAGCTTTAGTGGGGACGTGATCACTGTGCCAATATTTATGTCGAGCTTGCCTATGTAACCCCAAGCCCTGTAAGGTGGGTATTAGTATGAACCATCCCATTCCACAGAGGACGATTCTGAAGCAAAGAGAGGTTAACTGAACTTCCCCTGAGGCCCCGGCTTATTCAGCAGTGAAGGCAGGAATCCAGACTCCAGGGTTCCATGGGTTCTAGGACTGGGGGATTCTGTAGATTTCATGGCTTCCAGGATGTCAGGACCCCCGAAGTTTCCAGAATTCAGCTCTGGGATCCATTCTCTCAAAATCCCTTCAATTATCCCTACCGTGCTCCCCTGAGGATGGGCATCTGGGAGGTGTCTCCTGGTCGGGCGTGGCAAGGAGGAAGGGAGGATTGAGGAGAAGAAGGAAAAAGGATGGGCAGGTAGAAGGATAGGGACACTGTGGCAGCTGTGGAAGAGCTGGGTGACCTGGGAGCTGGAGTTGAGGTACAGCTCATTGGTGACCAGCCAACGGTCTGAGAACTAACGTCATAGGAGTCTCGGACAACTGCAGGCGCCCCACCACGTTGCAGAGGAAGCAGACAGGTGGCACCTGCAGGCTCAGGATTTCCGGTGGAGTCAGGGTCCGGGTCCCCTTCTCCATGGGAGCAGGAGGCCCCATAGTTCCACCCACTGCAGTGACGTCAGCTAGAAACAATGTCCCAAGGTGGGGTTCCCAGTCGCCCACCATGGCCATACCGGATTTCTGGTAAGGCTCTGCTGGAACATCTAATTTTCGGCGGCGCAACTTCCCGGCAGACCTGTCAGGACACATTAGCTGCAAAGGTCCCTGAGCACAGCTTGGGGAGACCAGCTCTATAGACTTCTGAACGGCCGCCAATTCCATGTTGGAAGACATCTGCTAAAAATGATGATTGTGCTTTTAGAGTAGTTGATCTTCCGCCATTTTTTTTTTCTGTCTCAATATCAAAAGGGACACAGTTGTTTCCGATTCCCAACCTTGTCTTGGCCTTCATTTCTCCTACGCTGGAATCGACTCTGTTCAGGGCACATCTGCGTCATGGTCTCCAGAGCCTGGCACACCTGCAGTGTTCTCCCAGGGAGAGAGGGGTCAGGGGTTCAGGTGCAGCTCAGGGACTCACTTTGACTTCCTGGGGGACAAGTGTTAGCAACCCTGGTCTGAGGAGCGTGCATATTGGGGAAAGTTCTTTGGAAATTAGTGAAAGGCCGTTGTCACTACTGTACAAGCACAGGAGGGAACACTGCTTTTGCCACACTGATTTTGGTACACCCCACCCATGGGTGAGAGGACTGATAGAAACAAGGTTACTTCTTCATAGAAGACTGCCCTCTCGAAAGGGCTGTCACTTGCCATTCTCACTATTATCATAAGCTGCTGTCATTTAGTGAGCAGCACCAGTGGCAGAGCAGTTATACGTTGAGCTGCTAACTACAAGGTCACCAGTTCAAAACCACCAGCGGCTTTCTACTCCCTGAAGAGTTCAC